ATGCGGCAGAGCTAGGATGAGGACAAGCGACGTCATGAACCAGACGACGGCGGCCACGGCGGGCGTGGGCTCGAGTCTTCTCGCCCTGGGGGGAGCCATGACGGCGGCCGGGGCGAAGGGCTCAGCGATGGCAGGCGTGTCCCCGGGACTCACTTTTGACCTCGCAGCGTATACGCAGATGCTGCAGCAAGTAGCGGCCAAGATGTATCCGTATGACCCGGCGTCCCTAGCAGCCTCGCTCGCGGCCCTGAGCCCTGCCTCTCACCTGCCCCTGGCGCTCACCGCCCCCCACGCCCTGTCCCTGACCGCCAAGGTCAACTCGAGCGACAGCAAGAGCGACCTCAAATCGGCCGCCACCTCCCCCGGCAGCGGCGGCCTCAAGCTGGCGTGGCAGACGGGCCTTTCCACGGAGACCAAGAAGGTGAAAGACGAGGACGGCGAGGCAGCTCTGGACCTCAGGACTCAGGGGCTCAAGTCCCTCTACTCGTCGTACCGCAGGGCCACGCTGGACGACATCAAGCCCAAGGTCGTGGAGGACATCTGGATCGAGAACGACACCCGCCTGTCGTGGACGGACTCCCGCATCGTGGCCTACAACCCGGCGCAGAAGCTGTTCATGTGCGTGGACTGCGAGTGCGTGGGGTTCCTCTCCCGCGTGGCCGAGCACTGGCTGGGAGCTCATGCCAACCTGAGGGTGTTCACGTGCCCCAGGTGCCCCTACACGTCGGCGTGGTCCCGCTGCGTGAAAATGCATCTCACGAGGCAACATAACGAGCAGTTCGCGGACACGAACATGTGGAAGGAGAACTCGACGCTGATGGAGGTGACGAGACTCATGCAGGAGCTCCGCAACAAGGTGGAGAACAGGATTGACTCGAGCAACACTCTGGCTGACAAGCGGTTCTACTGCCCGCACTGCCCCTACGCGACCGACCGCCGAGACCTGTACACGCGCCACGAGAACATCCACAAGGACGACAAGCCCTTCCACTGCTACCTCTGCTTCAAGCAATTCAACCGGGCGGATCACGTCAAGAAACACTTCGTCCGGATGCATCCTGAGACGGATTATGACATCGCCAAGATCCGAAAGCAGCCGGGCAGCGGGCGCGGAAATACCCGCTCGCCGCCCTCCCCCCTGCCCCCGCCCATTCCCCTGGAAGTGACACCCCCTCGGGCAGTGACACCAGTACCACCGACACCCGTCGTGGCACCTCCTGTGCCGTCCCCGCCGGTTGCCACCCCTGCCGTAGCCGTGGCAGACATGGCACCTCTCAGTGCCCCTTCTACCCCGGGGGAGTGCAGCCCAGCCTCCCCGGGCGCCGTCATCAACATGGGCGTCGGCCTAAGCATGCTGGCTGGCGCCGAGAGCCCCGAGCTCGGCCGAGGAAGGCGGCGAGGCGACCGTGCCTACACGTGCCCCTACTGCCACTGGTCCGGGAGCGACAACTGGTGTCTGAAGCGCCACATGAACACCCACATCAAGCCCTTTGCCTGCGTCATGTGCGACTACAAGGCCGCCAGAGCCGAACGTCTGTCCACCCACGTGTGGAAGGTCCACAACAAGCGCATCTGCAACAAATGCAACTTCCTCGCTGAAACACAAGAGCGTCTGCTGGAGCATACCAGGGAAGAACAGTAAGTACTTGAATATTTCTTTACACATTTGCATAAATATCTGATAGGCTCATCTCTATGTGTTCTTGAGAAAAATAACAACTATTTATATATATTTAAATATGTCTGTTTTTTATATTGAGTTCGTTTTCCGTTTCGCAGCCACAACAACCCATACTCCCGCCGGTACATCTGCTCCTCATGCGGCCTCACCTTCGACACCCGCCCCGCCCTCGAGACTCACCAGCACCTCAGCCACCCGCGCCTCTCCCGCTCCTCCTCGGTCGTTCCTCCGCCTTCGGGAGAGGAGCAGGACGCGGCCCATGACCTGTCGGTGCGGAGTGAGGACAGCCCCGCCCTGTCGCCCGTGTCCACCCCGCTGGTGTGCCCCGTCGATGGATGCAACCAGACGTTCGGCAGCAGCGGCGCCCTCGCGGAGCACATGCGGACCGATCACGGCGGGTCCGGCGCCTCCTGCTGCCCGCACTGTGGCTATCAGCTGACTCACGACGAACTCTCCCGGGACCACTGGCTGACCCATCACAGTGAGGTGTGCGCTGCATGCGTGCACGTCTTCACTGCCGTGTATGGACCACAACTCTGGAAGAAAGTGCATGTCCGGCCCACTTCACTGGAGAGCCCCCTCGACGCCATCGTCACTGGCCTTAGCCGAAAGCGCACCGCCAATGACGCTTTCCCCACCGCCCCCTCGGCTCTGGCTCCCGTGGCTCCGGTCGTGCCAGTCTGCGTGCCGCAGCGCGAGTCTCCGTCTCCAGACTCCGACATCCAGGACGCAGACAGTGAGCGCTTCAACAAGCGTTCGAGGAAGCAAAGTTGTCCGAAGAAGGTGATTACCACCGTAGCCGAGTCGGGGTCCGGCGGAGCATCGTCAGGAACAGCAGCACGCAGGCGTGGAAGCACCAAGGTCCGACGCAAGGCAACGGCAAGCCGTCCAGGGTTCCAGGGGCGCCAGTGCTACAGGTGTCCCCACCGTCCCGTCTTCACGTCGCGCACGAGGCTGCAGATGCACATGCAGTGGAGCCACGGACGCCGTGCAGGGGGCCGCCGCGCTCGCCTGAACAGGGACCAGCCTGCTCTCGCTCCCAAAGCAGACCATTAGTGGGACAAATCACCAATATCTCATCGCAACGGGTAACCAACAACGTGTATTTAATGGTGTCAGCACAGATTTGCCGACATGATTTGTCTGCCTATGATATAGGCTTTTAATATTATGTATAAATTAAACTGCTCATTATCTGCTGATGATTGCGCAGAGAAACCCGAGTCTGCTGTTGTATGAATAACTTGTGTCTTGCCTTTTGTAGGCCACAGAGATCTAAATTATCTGTTCTGCTAACGTTCAGAACTGATGCAGCGACTCAAGTAGATATAAGTCCCTTGTAATTCCTTACCAAAACAAATGGTTGTCTTTAATCATACCTATTATCCTTCCATTTACAATTCCATGATCTTATCCCAATAAACATTTCCATTAAGCATGCCCCTGAAACAGTGGTTTGGAGTTTTTGAGTACAATTTTCTTGCAAGTGTTTTTATTTCTCTAAAGATAATGTTAGCAGGACGCCAATGCAGACAGTGTTATGCTGCGTTTTTAAGGCTCTGGAATGAAATAAATAAGGAAAAGGAGCCAAGTCCACTTTGTGTAATTTATTCACTTTCAACTAAAGTGTTAGACTTGCTAAGATTTTTTTTTTTTTTTTTTGTACAGTATGTGATCTGATTAAAACGTTTCAGAAATGATACATGAGCATCTCACCAGGTATTATTTATAAGCTTTGGTTGTGAGGCAGTAATAAAGTTGCCTTGGTTGTGAGATATGATTTTTTTTTTTAAAGAAGAGGATTTATAACCTGAGCTGAGTGTATGGGATGTATTTAGTGGTTGTTAATGTGGGTTGTGAGAAGTATATGTGAAACTCCCAGTTGTCAAGAAAGCGTCTCCCGTTGAAGCTCTGAGGCCCCTGCAGTTATTAACATAGCTTTCCATAGTCTAAATACACTTAACGAGTAGCAGAGGAGAATTTTATGATACCTAGAACTTAAGAATAGTTGTTTCCTATTTATATAATCAGATTATGCTCGATTTTCCAGACACGAATTAAAACAAGGCTCAATTTAGATAGTATTTTGATGGTGTCAGAATGGGGTAAAACTAATTTTCCTTTCTTGGTTTTCTATTTCTTATTAAGTTTTGAAAGTAATTATAAACACAGCTGCATGCACGGGACCCTCACAAAAAGGAGCTTGGGAGGGAGACACAGGGGACACACTTTTAATTAATCAATGGACTTCAAACTAATGAGTCATGTTTGGAAGTTCATATCAAACCAAAGATTTTGTTGATTTATTCTAGGACTGTGACTCTGTTGTGCTTTGTTGTTATGTTGCAACCTAAATAGATTTTTCTGTGATTATTGTTATAAATGGAATGTCTACTGATTTCACTGTTGAACGTGGGTCAGGCCCATCTATGGTCAGGTTCTGGGCTGTAGTTCTTTTTTTAAGTCTGCTCTATGTAACCTTTCTCATGGGTCAGACCTAGCTTTTGGTTGGGCTGGATCTCCCTGGCTCTCCCTGGCCTAACCTCTGTGCTAGTTTTAGGCTACTGTGTGTACCCAGTTTTAACATGGTCTAGGCCAGGTTATACAGTCTGGTCTCACTCTGGTCAGACCCGCTGTCTTTGGGCCTAAAAAAAATGCTATGATTAGGTAAGGCAATGACCATTTCAGGTGACAAGGAGAGGCTCCGATGTTGTCCCCTTTGGTCATTGTCAGTCACGCGCTGAATATAGTTATGGTCAAGCTTGTACACGGCCTTTGTCTACTCTAAGTACTTAAGATTCATGCTAATCCATTTCTTGGAGCCATTGGCCAAGAAATTTGTGATTCACATTAGTTAATTTTGATGAAAAAAAAACAAAACAGTTGTAGACTTGGCCTTCTAGTCAAACTGTTGCCAAAGTAATAAAAAGTATATATAAAACCATTACCATGTGGTGTATATGCCCAGAAACCATATATCTGATTGACCTAATATTTCTGGTGCTAAAGCAAGCAAAATTGACCATTACAATAATTAATCTCATTGAACATGTTACTAAAACTGCATGGGCCCATTATGGATACAAAACATTTGGATGCCATTTCATTTTCTTTGACATAAATTTAAATGTAGTCCTACCCTTATATCTGATGAAATCCTAAATCAAAATATTAGTCAGAACAGCATATCGGGTTTCAGATCACTCAGTGAGAAACAAATATGTGCTCAAACCAACAGGTATCGTGCCTATAAAGCCATTTTGTTATCAGCCTTGTACATAATGTTTTGTGGAATAATCCTTCTCTCTCAACACAGCTCAGGATGGTAGTTGTGAATGACTTTTTTGATTACCTAAGCAATGTGAGGTTTGACAGAGGATGATGCCACCAATTATTTCTTACCCCTTTTTTTCTGTCTAGATTCCCATAGGATGTACTTTACAGTTGCTGGGAATAAAAGTAATAATTAAGCTAATGTTGCACAGGAAGGCATCCTCCTCTGTGTTGCAATGGGTGTGGACCCCTTGCAAGTCTTTACATTGCAATGTACATCTCAGTGATGGAGAATGGTACCTGGAGTCACCTTGTAGCCTACGTAGTGAGAAAAAAAAGAGGCAGTTCACCAGAGGGCAATCACTTCAACTCAACAAAGTCATGATCTGCATTATTGAGACCTAGATTTAGTTCACAGTAGCTAATCAACATATGTAAAGTACCTGCTAGTTTCATCATAGTAAAATCCCAATATAAACTACTCTCTGCCAGGCTTCTCTGGGACGAGACATTAACAGCTAGAAAACACTGATCTCTGTATGAAGCATTGCCCCTTATGTGACTATGCCATAGGTAGTGAGATATTAAGGTAACTTACACAACTTATGCTCACTTACACACAGGATGCAACATCGAAAGTCTCAATCAATAATCCTGTTCTGAAATAAGTTGTCTCTTATTATAAGTAATCCTGTATTATAATGTCATGATCCCCCTTCCATTATTTATAGCCAATACAGAACTAATTAAGCAAGGAGTAGTGTGACCAAGTGATCCTAATCCTTGTACTCAGAGAGAGATGCAACTAGGAATTTCATGTGTTCAGAATATTCTCGACTTACCTGGGTGGTTCTCTTCACCTGTACCAGGGTATGGCTGACCAGAATTCCTTGTGAGTTCCTCAGGTTCTGCGGAATTTTACATTTTTTCATGTTAAAAAAAGAAGCTTCATCTGGTAGAACAATACAACTTCCTAGAGCTTTTTAAAACTGACAGAAAAAAAAAGTTAGAAAAAAAAAAATCTAATGGAGTCAAATGAAATTAATGTTCTTTCGTGCAAAAGATTTGTAATTGTTGGAGAAAACAAACAATAAATTTAATATTTAAGTTAAACTAGATGAAGTTTAAAAGTGCATTTCCTAGTAACCTGTTTCTGTCTTAACAATGTTTACACCAACCATTCCCTTAATGCCTTGAATTACCTCTTATTATTACGTAATTTTCATACCAATAAAGGAAATTATGATACAAACACTTTTCTCATTTTCCTCAAAAACCCAAAAACATATCTTCTTCAACCAACAGACCAACTTTGGGGGCCAAAAATAAACACAAAAAAAGCTAAAGATGTTTATTACTAGTCTTCTATCAAGACGTACAATAACTACTAAGTAACTGTTACACTCATACTTTGGTCTTGTCTATCACAGTACTGAACATAGGAAAGAATACTATATTGGGAAATTTTTAAGCTCAACCAACTGGTATTCATCATAATTTTACATGCAAGCCCATGATGGAGATAAATACACTTTCATGATATTTTCTTCACACTAAACATTCACACTTCAGAAATGGATATAATGTAATACAAAAAAAAAAAAAAAAATATGAGAAAACAGCAAGTAAAAGATAGAACAAGAAGACAAAAGATAACTGTTAGAAAGGAAAGAGAGAAAGAAAAAAGACAAGAGAGAGAGAGAGAAAGAAAAAAGACAAGAGAGTGAGAGAAAGAAAAACTGGTAGGAAAAAAAAAGAACAAGAAAAAGAAGACCGGAGAAAAGGAGAAAGTAAAACAGGTACAGAAGAAAGAGAGCCAGGAAAAAAGGGGAAAACAGGTAGTAAAGAGAAAAAAAATTAAAATAATGAGAGAAAAAGAGAAAGGAAGACAGGTAGAAAAGGAATTGTGCAAGAAGAAGAAAGGCAGGAGAAAAAAAAAGAAGAAAAACAAATAGAAAATAAAATAAACAAGAAACAAAACAAAAACAACAATAACAAAACAGAAAGGAAAACTGGTAAAAAAGAAAGAGCTGTGAAAAAAAAATTATATTAATTACAAAATCAATCATGAAAAATTCTGTGTGAAACATAAGAAGCCGAGACTCTGAGGTAAAAAGTCCACATAACATTTGCAAGGTACAAAGACCAAGTGGAACGACAGTAAGATAATTAATGAACTGGGTGAGAGGCTGTCTATTGTAAATAATTTAGTCAGATCTGAAATGTTGTCCAGATTTTCATAAGAAACGAAAATACATGAATAGATGCTACTGTTCTTCCAACCACAATTAAACAGTTATTCAAATTCCTATGCATAACACAGACAAAATCTAAATAAAAAAGACAAAAAAATATCAACACTAGTGTACTCAAAGATACATAATGTACCAATACAAAAATCATATATATTAAAAAGACTACAAGAATTCTAACAGCTTTGGGCATCATTCCTGTGGTTGAATTTATGTTCGAAATAGATGAATCTGTACACCTGCCTCTTACTTTGTTTATATAAAAAAATAATCTCTCTTTCCCTTTCTTTCAAGGGGCTGCATAATTCAATGAATTAATAAAAATCACTCTACAAATCATAATAAAACAGAAGTGGTTTGGGCTAGTAAAATTCATCTGGATCATTACATACTTACAAGGATGTAGTGCCTTCAAACATAAGTAGACCATTAAACTGAATATATATCTTCATAAACTATATCATCGACTTTTACAAAATCAAGTATGTTACAATCTCTGTCAATAATCTTTTTTTTCTAATATATCACCCTAATATTATTCACATGTACTTCACACATTTCACTTAGTGACAAATAAATACAATTCTGAAATGCTTTCTTTCTCGACAAAAATGTGTATAACTTGAAACTCCTAATAACAAATTAATAGAAAACAGACAATGTACACCCTTTGGGAAATAAATTAGAATACATGGACGCATTCATGAAATTTCTACATCACCGGCACCAGAAAAAATGATTCAGGAGGGCACCGCAAATATAACAATAACTTAGCCATTCACTGCAGCAAATATATACAGATACCAATAAACACAGAAATATACAGAAGGGATAATAAGCCAGGGAAGACACAATGATGGCCCTTTAAGGTTGGGTTAGCAACAACATCTTAACTCAATGCCGCCGGGGAAAATGAATAAAAAATGGGGAAAATGCTGTGCTCATTTTTTTATATTTTTTGTGAAATGTCTCTGCACATAGATGGCTCTGCTAGTGCTTAGCCACAAAGGAGTCAATTAGTAGACTTGTGATCTTACCTGATTTCCCCTTTCCTTGAGTTGGCAGGTAAAATGTATTTTTTACTAGTGTTATGAATATCAATGGTGTTATTTTTATTATAAACATTATAATTACTATAATGTTTATAAACATTAGTAACAGCAAACTAAGATAACATAAAATATTTTTGTAAATTAAAGAAAAGGATAAACAGGCAAGACAGGCAGCACTCGTAATTGGCTCATTGGTGACTTAGTACAAGTGCAGCCATCTATGTGTAAAAACAATCAAACAAGTAACTCACAGTGGGCATGGCACGTACATACACGTCATGCCCGTCGGCACTGGGTTAACTGACTTCAGGCAATCCTCTAACACAATCTTCTAAGCAACAGATGGGAGGTTGGGCAGTATCCTTGTAAAAATATTCACTAAACTACCCTATATATGTATACAATTTCTATATTTGCATGATTTACTGGACCACTCATATGTTCTAAACAACTTAAAGACAAGCTTTGCTTCAAAATTGATTTTGATCAAGTAACCAAGTGCCGTCCCAACCTTCTCTGCCGTGGGTGAGACTGATAGGCAAGCAGGTAATCAATAACAAAAAAAATAAAATAAAATAAAATGCATTGTGGACTAACAATTTTTTACCTAAGCGTGTTAAGGAGCTCTCCATGTGTGACTTATTTAATATCCCTGTCAAAAATATTCTGGAAAATTATATCAAGTGGTTTTTCAACCTCACCAATTAAAGGTAATAACAAGTCATGGTTATAACCATTATACTTTCTCACTACATAACCTAAAAGAAAAAAATAATAAATCTAACCTTAAAAAAACAAACATGTATAAAACCTCAACAAAAATAGTAATTTTTCCAAACCATGATTTACAAATAAAAATGGTATATTACCATATCTTCACCCAATGCATTCATAGATTATTTAGAACCTTAATGCTAAATTTGTAAAGTATGAGAAAGAATGATCAGGCAAATACTAGCCCAGTTGCTTTTACAAAACCAGCACACTTAACACCATTCACCAAGAAGCATTCAATCTTTCATAAAAGGAAAAAAAAAAAGAAAAAGAGTGAAAACAACTACACATCACATTCCTTTGCAGTCAAACTCTATTATTGCCAAATGAGTGTATCACCGCAACTTTTGCATTAAACTAATTACCAGCCAAAATATAAAAGAGACTTCAATATTTGGCAGAAAAGCGTGTTATTGTTTTTTTTCATTTCATTTAGGTCATATTCCTGGCAAGTATTCATTACTAACTGCATCATTTTCTGCCATATAATCCCACATAATAAAAACATATCATCCTCAACTTCGATAGCCAATCATGCTCAAAACTACATCAAATATAGGGATATATATATAATTACTGATATAGTAATGAATAACTAATCTGTACGAAGTAATAATGGCTGACAAGTTTTAAGATCCCTTTCATATTCTATTTCAAAAAGCATATGGAGCTTTCTTATATTCATTACAAAACACTAAGTTATTTGCAAAAAATTCACATACCAGATCTGATATATTTTAAAAAAATAATCAGTAACAACTTACCACGAAAATTACCAATGTTTCACTATGTAAATAAAGAAACAATCAAGAAACACATGATCATTATTATCACACTATATACACCAGGCTTCTTAATATGGTGTGTTCCTCTATTTACGTTTGTGAAGATCTATTCTGAAAGCAAATGACATATGTACACACATGCTACTATCCTTAGGAAAAAAAAACTTGAAATACATGGTTATCTCCAGCCCAAGAAGACCCACTGTTTTGTTTGGACCAAAAAAAAAGAAAAATGTTATTCAAATTGTGTCGGAACCTTGAAACCATCTACAGCTATAAATAAATATGGTATTCCGTTTTCATCACTTACTTCAGATACCCTAGAAATGCCTTAGCAACTTCATGATGGGCATTTAAAAGGTATCTGTAACAAGCAACAAAGAACAAAATAGTAGAAATTTTCCTTTATAAATACATTTCTAAAATACAAAAACGCAGAATTAGACAAATATAATCCAATGTGTAAAATCTGTTCACAGGATGCCAATATTAAGATTTCTGTTACACCTCATTTACCTTTCTTTTTTTAAATCAAATTCACTGACTCATATATAAATACTTTTTTTCATATCATTACTTGCTACCATTATTCTAAATAATAATTTCTACATCATCCTAGAATTACAGTTCCTTTTGTGCATTCTGCCTTTAGAAGCTCACTAATTCCTGGAAGAACTTTTAATCTATGAATGATAACAAAAATGATTAAATGCAACATCAGGTATTATAAGATATAATAAAACAAGGCACCAAACTGCACTCTACAATCTTAAGAGCATTGTTAAATGTAACATTATTTTTTTACTAATAATTTAATGACATAATCTGATAAAATATATTTTCATACATTCTAATGCAGGATAAATTCTAAATCAGCAAATGTTATGCCAAAAAAAAAATAAGCTTTGCTTATTGTATTCACAGAGATACTGATAATATTGTTTAATCATATATTTATTTCTCTTCTACTATAATAAGGATGCCCCGAAATAAGTAGAGAGAATAGCACACATAGGGATCATAAAGAGTACCTTCATCAAATTAGATGTAACGTTAGAGCATCAGGGACACTCTTAGCATATTTACTGAAGGAGAACCATAACATAACACCCACACACACTATCTGACATACATTGGAATAAATTGATCAGGGATCTATCCCCAGTCCTAGCCCCGTCCACCTGTCAGGGGTGAGTAGGAAGTATCGGTCCATGGCATGGCAGAAGCGTGTTCGGTACACCTCTGGCGACACGACAGTCGGGAGCTTGCCAGCGCCGCCTGCTAGGACGCTGCCCTTGATGATGGTCTCAAGCTTCTTGTCCCATGTGAATGTCCGGATATAATCTGACCACAAAAATCACAGCATGAGTATTGTAAACATTTGGATATCATTTCATGAAGAAAATAAAATACATAAAATGAAATACACTAACCGATAATGCCGACAACAAGCTGGTTCGCAGTGCTATCAATGCCAACAAGAAGAGAGTAGTCCATGATAAGCTGCTGAGAGAGGAACACAGTGTCTGCTGCAATGGCTCTGCTTAAAACAGTTTTGCTGTGAGGACGCACATGCAGCGGCGATGAACAGGCCATCCGGAGTAAATTCTCATCAAGCAAAACCAGTTCTGACTCCTGTCATAGACAATCAAGAAGTAAGTTGGCAATGTGGGTAAAGGTGTATCATTAAACTGTGCAGAATGATATCACATACTTTTATTCACCCTCTTAGTCCTACTGTTAAAAGTGACAGGAAAACTGTAAACTAATAAGACATATTCTAAGCTAAGTAAGCTCATGCTAGTCTTTAACAAAGAGCTTTCAAACTAAAATTTCAAAATCTAATATAAAAATCATATAAAAAATTCTAGTCACAGAAACACTGACGTGATTAAAATAAATGTTTTTGACATTCAATTATACTTTAACTTTCTCTTCTTACACCTTACCTCTTTACCCGAAGTGTTCACAAGCCTGTTTCGGATAGATCCCTTCAAGTCGAACTTGTGAGTTATGTTACGCTGATAGAACAAATTCTCCATCACTAACACGTCCATTCTCTGAGCTTTGTTGGTAGTGGTGTTCTTGTATCCAATGCGATAAACACCTGTTGTAAAATGCATAATTAATACCAACTTACAATTCCCTCTAAAAAGAAAAAAAAAGGAAAAAACAAATCAATAATTTTTTTACTCACCGACAATCCTTGTTAGCACTGTCGGCTGTTGCTCCTTTTCACAGTTAACAATGTACTGCACATAGGCTGGACCAAAGTCAAGGAAGGAAATCATTTCGAGCCGCGACATCTCCTTCAAGATAAAACGATCATCTGTGGAAAGGAAAAAATCATAGTAAGAGACTGAAGCCTAGGATGGGTCTAAGGATGAGGATGAGGATGAGGAGGAGGAAAAGGAGGAACAGGAGGAGGAACAGGAGAAGGAATATGAGGAGGAAGGGGAGAGGGAAGAGGAGGAGGAAGAGAGGAAGGAAGAGGAGGAAGAAGAGAAGGAGGAAGAGGAGGAGCAAGAGGAGGAGGAAGAGGAGAAGGAAGAGAAGGAGGAAGAGGAGAAGGAAGAGAAGGAGGGAGAGGAGATTGAGGAAGTGAGGATAGTTGAGGAGGTACAGAAATTAGAAGTGGATGAAGGAGGCAGAGAAGGTGGAGGAGAAGGATAGGAATCATGAAAAAAAGACATAGTCCTACATCTTGCAAAAACACAAGTTTTGTCTTCTTTCTCATATTGTTTTACTCAATGCATGTAAATAACTCACATGCAGTGAATTGAAAATCTAATCAAGAAAATCATGTAAAATTCTTAAAATCAAGAAGCAAAACAACCATTAGTCTGCTTTAATAGTATCACTATAATTGAAGAAAAAGGAGGGGGGGAGAAGGAGGAGGGGGTGGGATAGGAGGAGGAGGAGGAGGAGGAGGAGGAGGAGGAGGAGGAGGAGGAGGAGGAGGAGGAGGAGGAGGAGGAGGAGGAAGAGGAGGAAGAGGAGGAGGAGGAAGAGGAGGAGGAGGAAGAGGAGGAGGAGGAAGAGGAGGAGGAGGAAGAGGAGGAGGAGGAGGAGGAGGAGGAGGAGGAGGAGGAGGAGGAGGAGGAAGGGAGAAGGAGGAGGAGGAGGAGGGGGAAGAGGAGAGGGAGGAGGACAAAGGGGAAGAGGAGAGGGAGGAGGACAAAGGGGAAGAGGAGGAGGAGGAGGAGGAGGAGGAGGAGGAGGAGGAGGAGGAGGAGGAGGAGGAGGAGAGGAGAGGAGGGGAAAGAGGAGGGGAAAGAGGAGGAGGAGGAAGAGGAAGGGAAGAGGAGGAGGAGAAGAAACTCAAGAACTAACTAACCATGTGATTTGCAGAAGACAGATCCCGATTTTCCCCCCCGTGCTTCCCAAGCAATGCAGCGGCTAAGAGACCTTATGTAGAACTCCTCTCCAAAAGGGAAAACCATCTTCCGCAATTGCCGGAAATGCTCAGCAAAGAAGATCTAAAAGACAAAGGTGGTTAGGATGTATAAATTCATTGATCTTGAGATCTCAAACATACCAAAAGTCTTAAATATATTAGAAGTATCCTTAAATATTTGAATATACAGATAGTCCCCTACTTAAGAACATTCTACTTATGAACATTCCATACATACAAACAAAATTTTTTAAGTACTAAAGTCCAAAAAATTGTTTGAAAGATGCTAGCAAACTTCAAATTTCCCAGACGCGAATATAGTTCAAGAGTCTGGTACTGTATAAGGTATGTCGTACTTATTGGGATTTATTTACAGGTATTCTTAATGTAAACAAAACTTTAAAACAATGGGAAAAAAGGTAATGGAGACCCAACTTTTGACATACAAACAAATCAACTTACAAACAGCCTCTCAGTCCCCATTGTGTTCTTAAGTTGGGGACTTACTGTATCTTAAAATACCTAAGCTTTAAAGATGAATATGAGCTAATGCAATATATAAAAATCACCCATAATACTACAAAATTAGATAAAGCAATGCATACATTTTGGAACAGAACCAACTTACACCTTGCAATACAACCAAACTGAAGCCTTCTAACATAACTAAAGTGTTCAGCAATAAACTCAACTAACATCTTGCATTAAAAACAGTTACATATCTAACTCACGCACATATCTAACTCAACCCAATCTCAAACCAAACTCGTACTCATTACAATAAATCCAAACTTAGGGCCATGGTTATGGACTGACCTCAGGAGCCCCACAGGATAATTATTGGAATAAATGTTATCCTTTGCCTTTTCATTTTGGACTACAGCCCTTATATTCTCAACTTGTAATGTATATTCATACCTTACACAAAAAAAACATGACACACAAGACATGCAACAAACAAACAAAAAATTATGAACAACCTAATTCCCATACAACCAAACTCTGATCTTGTAAAGAGAAAAAATTTCCAAACAAACTCTTCACCTTGCAGTAAAACTTGGCATGCTGATCATTCCACTGCAGTTCAATGTGGAAGTCTTTGGCCGACTTGTTCTTCTCCGAGTCCGTGGTGGCCGCTGATACGCAGAATTCTGACTCTTCATTGGCTGAGCTATCGTAGTCCTCCTGTGACAGCTGGGGTTCTTTGTCACTTGATCTGACAGAGGAAAGTGAATACAAAAGTAAATTATCAAATATATAAACAATATGGGGAATGGGCATGAGGCAGGAAGAGAACCGGAGGCAAAGAGACATATATTTACTTATTTTTATATATATATATATATATATATATATATATATATAATATATATATATATATATATATATACATATATATATATATATATATATATATATATATATATATATATATATATATATATATATATATATATATATATATATATGGTAGAGGAAGAGAGACAGGCAGACAGACAGAGAAAGAGAGAAACAGAGAGTCAGATAGAAGCAGAAAGCAACAGAGAGGAGCGTGACTTATTAGAATTTAAGCACTTCTGGAGGGGCCAAATAAATCCCCCAAAAGCTCAAGTCCCTTCATCCTTGGCACCTACCTCATGTTCATTCCCTCTTTCTGCATGTCCTTTAGTCTCTTTTTGAGTGCCCCAAGCTGGCGGTCATACTCTTGAGATGCCAGTGCATGAGCAATGATGGAAGATGGTTCATCACCATACACAACTACCGGGATTTTCACCTCTGGCAACAAGAGGTAGTGTTCATTTGGACCGAAGGGGGACTGGGAGATAAGAAACAAGATCACAATAAAGTTAGGAAAAATTAAAATGATCAGCATCATCATCAAGAATGCTATGACATTCATCATTATCATCAACTTTAATAAAAAAAAAAAAAAAGGAAAAAAAAAATAAAAATCACCTCAACCATCAGATTAGCTGATGACGACCAAAAGGTTGAGATAATATTCTTCACAGCCGTTGCAGCAAGCCTACGTTCACCAATGACATCTATGCCTTCTTTGATAATCCCTGTCTGACCTCCATCAGAGAGTGACCTTTCATGACCTCGGCCAGGAGAACCAGAGGTCGAAGAACAACCAGCAATCATCCCATCACAAGTGTCGGAAGCTGTAATTAATCACAGGATAGTAGCATGTTGTGGTATGTATGGCTACACAAGAATTTCTGAATTACATTCCTTGATGTTCATCAAATATAGTGCCTCTGTTAATGATATCATAAATATGCCTACAATGGGAAATAAAAATCTATTCTATTGACAAATAAATAAATAATAAAGCAAGGTAGTATTGGTAGCACTGTGACAGATAATGCAGCTAATGTAAACAAACTGAAGAAACTGTTAGAACAGGGAAATGAAACGAAGTTGGAGATCTATAGCTGTACAGCACATATTCTGAATCTTCTAGCTCATGATCTGGAAATTGGCAGCATTAAAGAGGATGTAGCATAAACTGTAAAATACTTTAGAAACAATCACTATGCTCCTGCAAGATACCACTAGGAAGGTGCACAATGTCTTGTTATGCCTCAAAACGCAAGATGGAATACCATGTGTAACTGTCTGAAGATATACATAAAACTGGCCAACTCTCATGAAAATTTGTGAAGCTGATATTGAGCAGACTGATGTCAGTGTTAGAGAGATGTCTAACTTAACACTGAAGTGGTCAGCAGAGGACCTACTTGCACAACTAGAACCAATAGCTGTGGCTTTGGACAAAATACAGCTTTAAATGTACAACTCCTGAAGCAGTGAACACATGGAAAGAATTAATCACAGCTTTATACTGTTACAAAGATGCAGTAACTGCTGCAAAAAAGAGGTTTGGCCAAGTCATATCACAATCTCATGTTCATGTGAACCTGATTAATCCTTCCTTTCCAGGAAAACTGCTTAGTGCAGAAGTGAATAGTGCAATGGACTATGTCATGAAAAGTTTCCCTCACTTGTCCCAGTCATCATGAAATTTCAAACCAATGCAATTAATTTTAGTGATTCTGTGACCATGTATATGTCAGCTGTTGAATGGAGGTCACATTCAAATATGCTGGATAGTGATTCAGCAGCAAAAGAACTGCTGTCTGCAGTGGCATCTTCATCAGGGGTTAAAAGAGTTTTTTCAAGCTATGGTATTGTACATTCAAAACTAAGAAACCAGCTGATAACAGAAAAAGCAGCAAAATTGGCATTTTTGTTTAAAATCATGAGTGCACACAAAATGGATGTATTTGATGCTACTAATGATTAAAATGCATATAAGAACCAACTTTATTATCATAAGAATTAAAAATAAAGACTTTCCCTTTTAAAGATTTTAAATTTAAGTTTCAACAAAATTATAATTTGTTTTCATGAACTACTTTTCAAAATAAGGGGATTTTTTCAATATAAATTCCATGTACTTTTGTTTTAAATATAGACTATAATAACTTTTACTTGAAGATGTAATTGTGTGTTTATTTTCATATTTTTCCTTTAACCCATTCGCGCCGGGTAAAAATGAACAAAAAATGGGGGAAATGCTGTGCTCAGTTTTTATATTTTTTAATGAAATTTCTCTACACTAGATGGCTCTGCTTTACCTGATTTCATTTGGCGGGAAAATGTATTTTTACTAGTGCTATGAATATCGATGGTTATTTTTATTATAAACATTATAATTACTATAATGTTATAAACATTAGTAACAGCAAAATAAGATAACGCAAAATAATTTCGTAAATTAAAGAAAAGGGTAAGCAGACGAGACAGGCAGTACAAGTGCAAGTGGAGCCATCTATGTTTGTAAACAATCAAACAAGTAAACTCACAGTGGGCCTGTCACGTATACGTGACGCCCGGCGCGAATGGGTTAAATTCCATGTTCCTTTGGGCAGAAGAAAATTTTGATCAACATCAATTTTCTATTTTTTTTAATAATTTGATATAAATCTTCATGATTTAATGTGACAAAACCTGATTCATAACATAACAAAAATCCATATCCTGATGTATACAATGTTAACTTACACTGGGCCATGATCATCATAACATTTTGAGTACCAAAAGTAACCAATGAAAGGTATAAATTACAAAAACCTTTAAAAATATATTCAAATCATTAGATGCTTGTTCTTGATAATCTGTATGAAAGAATGACACATGTAATTCAAATGGTGTTAAAAATCATGTAGTCACATGGAAACTCGCCACACTCACGGGAATGGACAGGGGAGATATACCCA